GGCAGCACCGAAAGGGTTCAAAGTGGACGTGGGAGACCGAGGAGGAGATGAGGGAGCATTATCTAGAGTTATTCTTAGATTTAGCAGCAACACACTTCAAGGACGAAGTCTAAGACAAGTAGGGGAGAGTTGTAACACCCTATTTCTGATATGTGATTTAAATAAAGTAATTTCCAATTCTAGAGGGGTACTCGACGAGTTTGTAGCCCAACTCGTCGAGTAGGGACGGCTTTTGCATGCGTTTTAAGTTGGCTACTCGACGAGTCCATATTTTTGGACTCGGCGAGTCTTCTAGTCTAGATAAAACCCTAATTTCAAGGGTTTTCACCCTATTTAAACAACATTATGCACCCCCAAACCAGCCTCCATCACCCTTAGAACGTCCCTTACTAAACCCTAGCCTCCCTTAAATCATTCTTAGAGTATTTCTCATATTGTGAAGGTTTTTGGTGCATTTTAAAGTAAGAAGAAGAAGAGAGAAGAGGGGTTTTCAAGAGGAGCAAATAAGATATGAGTTTATTGTGTCATTCCAGTTTCCATTAAGGTATAAAGCTCGAATCTTTGCTTGTCACCATGTAGATCTCCTTAAAAGCTTGCTAGTGTTTTTTTTAGCCTTTTCTAGACTTTGAGGTCTATTTAAGGGTAGTTAAGATGAATTGGTTTCAGATCTCAGCATTTCAGGACTCCTTAAGCTCAAGGTTGCAACCTTTATTGAGCGAAACACCCATTCCAAACCAAGATCTCCTCTTTTAGCTTTTTATTGGGCATTTTAGCTTCTTATTAGCATGCATGAATGTAAAGTTAGAAACTTTACGTGTGAAATCAGTCCTAGGAACCCAGATCTATGATTTGGATGCATTGGAATCGAGGAAAATTAACTATATAGTAATGACATGCTTGGGACTCGGCGAGTTGTTCTTCAGACTTGGCGAGTCGAGTCGCGAGTCCCCGGTTTTTCCCCGATTTGAGAGTTGATGGTGAATCAGTGAGTGGGAATGGACTCAGTAACTTAGAGTTCAGATCTGGTGATGGAGGGACCCGGCGAGTCCGGTCAACTGAAAGTTGACTTTGACCTGAAAGTTGACTTTGTCTAGGAAGTTGACTTTGACTGGGGGTAAAATAGTCATTTTACCCTGAGGACAGTTATTAGTACCTGATCTAGTGTTTATGGGATTTGTAGCCGGTGAGTTCCAGAGAAGCAGTCAGCCAGTTTTAGAGTCAGTATCTCAGTAGCTAGCGTTATGAGGTGAGTTTCCTTCCAGTAGGAACGGATCTACGGCTACAATGCCTGCCCGTCTAGTTAGTGGTAGTTCTGTGCTTCGATCCGATGCAGTAGTTCAGTGTGCTTGATGTCTTTGTGATTCAAGCATGTCTTTGTGTTATGTGTTCTGGACTTCAGTCTGAGGCAGTATGCAATATATGTGTTCATGCTAGTTGATATGTTTATGCTATGCTATGTTCAGTTAGTTTCCGGAATTTGGTCCGATGCAAGGGACAAGATCCCAGTCAGTTTCAGACTTCGTTCCGATGTAGTTAGTTTTGGACTTCGGTCCAATGCAGGGGATGGGGTCCCAGTCAGTTTCGGACTTCGATCTGATGCAGTTTCTAGACTTCGGTCTGATTTAGAGGGCAACGCCTTGGTTAGTTCTGGACTTCGGTCCGATGCAGTAGGCAAGGCCCAATAGTTTCTTATATGTTATTTTATGGTATATGGTAGTTTGGGGGGAGCTCACTAAGCTTCGTGCTTACAATTTCAGTTTTGGTTTCAGGTACTTCCGCTAGCAAAGGGAAGAGCTCGGGTTGATGACATCGCACACATCACAGCTTTAATTTTATCCTGGGAGTTTTATTGAGATATTTTGATATGATTGATACAATTTTGTTTTGACACGGTTACTATGACTTTTGAGTTATGCATTCCATGGTTCTTCATATATATGGCATTCGATGATGTGATTTTAGTAATATTAAAACAAAACATTTTGGGTCGTATTTTGGGTCGTATTTTGGGTCGTTTCAATTTGGTATCAGAGCCTTGGTTTGAGGGATTCGGGCACACTTTCGGGTGTGTCTAAACTCAAACTAAGGAAATGGTAAAAGATTTTCAAAAGATAAACATTTTCAAAAAGAATTTTTAAAAAGAACTTAGAAAGAAAAAGAGTTTTCTTAAAAAGAGAAAAGGGTGTGGTGCATGCGATCAGTCGAGCTCAAGTAAGTACTCCCAAATTACCCATACATTCTATGTTATGATTATCAGTTTCAGTTTCAGTAGAACAATATGCTAGAATATGACTAAGGATCTAGGAATGATGCCTTATGTGTCTGCTTTATGTGTTTCAGCTTTATTAGAATTGCATGCTAGTATTGAGTAGACAGTAGTAGGTTAGCCTTTTTAGGTTATGGCTAATAGTATGAGCTTAGAATTATATGCTAGTACAGTTTATCGTTATGAGAATAGATTTGCTTGAGTAGTTCCTGTGTCCGAATGCTGCTTCCTTTG